TTGGTTCATTTAGAGTGACGATTCGTTTCATTAATTGAGAGAATTCAGACTTGGGTGGTCTTCACACTGTCTCGACTAGTCTTGGACTCGTCAAATGTGGTCTTGGCTATAGCCCTAGCCTCACCCGTGTCACCTGCGATGTATTCTCTAAGGCATTAGGGGCTGTGCTTTCACAAATGCAGAATGGTTTTGAGAAGCCTGCTTTCGCTTCTCAGGCCCTCAGTCCAACTGAATTGGGCCTGGAAAAGGTGGCACCTGTACTTTTTTGTCTGCTCTACCTGCTGGTCTCCGAACACTTCTTATGTATCCTTCGCCCCCTTGTAAGGTTTGGAAGAATAAAAGATGTCTCTTTTTGTCTCAATTGCTCCTCCTCCACTCTTTAAAACAACTATTAATGTTATTTTTTATCCTTTTTTATTGATTGTTTATAGTAAATAAGAGTGACAGTTTTTATTTATCTATTGTTCCCTATTTTACCCAGAAGGATAAGTCGTTTAGATGATGTGTGTGTGTGTGTGTGTGTGTGTGTGTGTGTGTGTGCGTGTGTGTGTGTGTGTGTGTGTGTGTATTGTTCCAAAACTTTTAGTGGAGTAGTTCAAAGAATGCAGTCGCAGTGGAACAAAGCTAAATGGTCAAATGGCCTGTATTGACAGCAATCAACATAAAAAGCAAGCTGGTACAATAACAGTGAAGGTGCAATAGCAGCCAAAATCACTGAGCCTAATGTAAATCCGTTCAATTGTTTTATTTGTTGCCAACACAATGTTGACAAAATAATAAAAAAACATACCCCCTCATGTGGGAAATGTAGAAGTGAGTGGTTATAAGCATTACACAACTAAAGATGACTGCAGTACAATGACCAAAATTTTGCAAAAACATTATTTTCTGTGTATTTATTAAATTTCCTTTAGATTCATTGTATTCTGCTTTTAACATGAAAAAGTACTGAAACATATACTATAGAACTACAACACCACCACCAACAAAAAGTTAAATGTTCCAGTAATCCACAACTAGTGCTCATGGACACCTGGTCACAAAAGACTAAAATAAATAATATATAATATAAAATACAACAAATAAATAGTATGAATTGTAACCGTTCTACCCGAATTAGCTACTTTTATATTTTTGGTGCTCCGTTTTAATGCGGCGCAAAAACTCTTTCGGGGCCATTAGCGTAACACACATAGTTGTCTCATTCTTCACAATATCCTGTGGAAAAACAAAGATAATTAGCCAAAAAAAAAGATATGATGTTTTGGGTAGATTTGTATAGGTTAGCACAATAATTAAAACATCATCATGTCTTGTCTAAAACAATCACTCCAAAAGCATTTTTCTAAACCAACAATTAAAATTGTATGTACAACATTTTTAAAAGCTATGCATCAGCAATTAAAAGAACATTAACGTGCCCCATGATAAATAAATAAATTGATATAGAGCTCTACAACACATCTTCTAGTTCCATTACTGGATATCCATAATTGTTATTAAACAAAAATGTGTTTTATGTGATTCTGATGTTTAATCAATATGCGTTATTACCTTCAACCTGTCAAGCACTTGGCATGTTCTATGTGTCTCTACGTTGGACGAAATACAGAGTAAGTTTAAATTTTTCAGTCCTTCTTCAATATATTGATAATTAGTGCAGTCCTAGAAAAAAAAGAGGAAACATTGGTTGCACATAATCAGGACATATATAAATGAACCCAGTACACATTGCCATTTGTCTAACATTTGTTTAGAAAAGGGTTACTTACAGTTTTGTTGGGTAGGTACACACACTTGCATTCAGTCTCCTTTAGTAAAGAAAAGTAATCTCTGTAAACTTTTGGTCTATTCAAGAAACTCTCAAAAAGGTTGAATTCTGAATCTCCTCACATTATCTGAGGTCTATTTGTAGGAGCTACAGGTTCAAAAATAGAACTGACTAAAACACTGTTTCTAAAAACAAATTGTACAAGTATTTCCTCTATTAAGAACTATGTGCATTCTTCTGTAGAAGTCTATGGTAGAAAGGAAGTCACTGCAGTGCATATGAATGATACAATCTAACCATCAGATAACAGCTCGGAAGAGACTGTCAATGCAATGACTGCTCAACAGTTTTATCAGTTCTGATTTAACAAACACCAGTTTACAGCTACAAAACTTTTTCATTATGTTCACTCACATTTCAACTGAATGTAATTTTAAAATTTTTATTTTTAAAAAAGGAATCGATGCATTGAGAGTACTTACATTTGTCTCTTGGCAGTCATTTGGACACGTCTATGAAACAAATACAGATGTGTTCAATACTTCTTAAAATATCATTCATTAAACATTTTTTGTGTATTTCTGGCTAGGATAGAACAGTTGTATTATAGCAACTTACCTTTTTTGATTCCTCTAATATTGTTAATCTTTCGCCTATTTCTTTAAATTCTATGTCAAACTCTGTTTGAGGGGTTGGAGCAGAGTGACATTCTGCGATCAGTGACACCAACAAAATGAAGCCTAAAACAGCATTCATTGTTCTTTCTAGGGGTTTGAATCCTATCCTCTCTGTGTTTTACGAGTTGAGCGATGCAGCTTTTAAGACTCCTGAATAGAAATTCCATGGAAGAGGGGAACTCCTTTTGCTTTGCTTGGTGCTATAGATATTTATCATACCCACAGAATATCAGTTTTACCCAAGGGGTAAGGAAAGGTTTTACAGTCCTATTCGCAAATGTGTCAACCACTTATCTTTTTAATCTCCTACTACCTTGAATCACCCAGTAAATTCAACTGCATCATTATGATGCTGTTTTTCCACGTCTCCCATGGGCATTTTCTGAATGTATTTTCATATTTTAGGTTACACAGACAATGGGTTTTGTCCTGAACCTCAGTCTTCATTTCAGCTTCGACTTTTGATAGTATATATAAAAAGAAACACCTTAAAATTTATGTAGCATTCTAAGCACTCTTTCGTGATTCACAAAGCAGAATTGTTTGAATTAAATCCTGATTTGTGTTTGTGCTGTAGTTCCATGACACTGTAGAGTGGACACCTGTTTAAATATGCCACAAACAGTCCACTAAGCCAAGCTGTTGAGAGAGTACTCCTTGAGGTCAAGAGTTTTCAGGTTCCCATTTAAGCAGCATGAGAAAGCACTGTGTTAAAACCAGCTGTACTGTGGAGAGGGAGAATCACTAGCTTTACTCTCTTTCAGAGGAAAAAGAATACTTCCCTTCTGGGGATTCACTAAAGAGCTCAATGCTATTACTTTTTCAAAGTTGAAGAAAGAGCTCAGGATATCAAAGAAAAGTGTGAGAAAAAAGTGTTAACAGAGTACACAGGGAGAAGACAGAAAAGTAGATCTTAATGGGGCTGTGCATCAGCAAGACTACAGTTTCTCTGGCTCCCAGTGCAAGAGTCCTAAGTGTTGAAGAAGCACATCAAGGAGCCGAAAGCAGTGCCACACAAAGTCCCATCTGGGGGGAGCGTACCTTGGGCTCGGGCACCAAGGTGAAGACGGACAGCATGCTACGGAGTGTGGGAGCTAATCTTCTTTCCAAAGGCTACATGGAGTTAGGTAGTAAAGGTGAGGGGGAGCCACAAATGTCCAGGGAGGCAGAGGAGGAGGCAGATACAGATGGAGATGAACTGGAGAACCTCCTGAACTTCTCTGACAGTGTGGAGAGCCTAAGGAGTGAGTTTCTGGAATGATCTTCTGAGGCAGAACAGGCATTCTCTGTATGCACCATAACAACAAATCAATGTCATGCAGCAAATAGTGTAAATTACTTGTGATATAGAGAGATTCATTTGTTGCTGTGTTGTCCTGCTCTCTGCCCTGTCATCTTGGAGGGTGCTTAATATGACCTTTTTTTTACTTGTTGGACATATTTCTGTTTTGTTTTTGCAAACAGATTTACTATTAGACTCTTCATAGTTTAGAGCATCTTTTTTTAATTCATTACCATTGAATGCATTAGATTTGCTTCTGTTATTTACTGTAATAATGAAAATAAAACAATTACAACAATAAACATGTCTCTCTGGGTTACTTGGTTGTTAGAGTTTGGCTTCTATGTACAAGTAGGGACCAACTCTAAAAATCAGCAAAATGTTTATTATGTATTTATTCTACAGATATTTTGACATTTACAATATACTTCTTACCCAGGCTCACCGAAAACCTCACCAAAGCTGAAAACTAATGTATCAGAGAAAACTATTACTATTAAAACCTTAGCATGTGTGAATTCTATGTCACATAATTATACAAACTGCTTACTTGATTTTGTGCGAGTTTAACCACATGCTAGTAATGGTAATAGCTTCCTTATCTGTTGTGGGGAATCATGTTTTTTTCCCTTAGAAAGACAGGGAAAACCCCTTGTGTGCATAGTAGAAACATGTTCTCAGTGGGATTTCTATGTGATGACTAAGTAGTGGGATGCCCATCATCAGTTTTCGGTCATACAATTTGGTACTACAGCAGTTTGTAGGATGTGTACAATTGTGGTCAGAGGTGATGAGCACTTACCAAACAGAAATTTGTCAAAGTGCTTCAGTTTACGTAAAGTTCATGGAAGTACATATTTTGATGAATGCATAAATTCCATTGTTGTGCAATATGACGTGTTAATTAACAATGCACTATATATATTGCAGAACTAACTTTCTCCGATACCTTAGATCTAAGATATCTTGACATGTTGATTTTGTATTTAAAAATATGTTTAATGCTAAATAAATAGTTCAATCATTTTTTTAATAGCAGTACTTCATTAGTGGTTATACATAATGTAATGCAAATATATATGTAACATCACTGTTTGAACAGTTAATGTAAAAACTAAGGAATTTATTCTAAGGAATTTTTGACCATTTGTATTGTCTTTTCCTCTTGAAATTTCAACGCAATGTAAATGGAAACTAGTTTTTTTTTTATTATGTAAAAATACATAATAATAAGTAAGTTGTAATAAGTTAATAAATAATAAACAGCAAAAACGAAGAATGAAAAATTTATTCTGACATTGGCCATATGTATGTTTTTACATGTGTGTATAATCATTAAAAATACTAATAAAAAAACATCCACATGATGCTCACTGTGAGTGTAATTATCATATAGGTCTATTTGCATTGAGAACTCTTTCCAAAGAGCACTGAAACCTTTACTGGGAGCTGTGCATGCAAGTACACATCATAAGTACATCTCCTTTGCTGACCAACGAAGAACAGGGTGAAAAAAGTATGCAGATAAAGACATTGATGACTCTCTGTAATTGTAGAACTAGAAAGTATGATATATATATATGATTCAATTAAATCAGCTAAACATCATGATTTGTGATCCTGCATGATTCTGCACAATTGTGGTGATTTGGCTGTTATGGAAATAAGCATAATAACAAGAAAATAATGCTTTATAAAACCTAAAAGATTTACATATTGTAGCTTTATTGACACAAAATCATTCATATGACCAGGGGTCGGAAAAGTATTGAGAAATAATGCTTAAGTGAAAGTATGGGTACTGCACCAAAAATATTACGCAATTATAAGTAGAAGTATGGAGCCAAAATATTTCTTTAGTTAATGTCAGAAATAAACAAGCATTTAAACAGATACAATTAAGAGTCAGCAAACCATTTTTCACTGATTTTTAATTCAGTTTTTTTTTTATCTCTCCATGACTCCACCCCATCCTCTATCAAGGTTGGAACCTGAAAACATTTCTGTTTTTTCAACATTTTCATTCTTCTTTTCTCTCCTAATTTACACCTGCCACTCCATGATGATGATGTTTAGTCCTTTTTGCCTTTTTTTTGCACTGGTGCAAAATAAGAGGGTGTTGTGTGACATGTCCATCTATCGTTTTGATGTCATTTTTCAGAGTAGCTTTTCCTAACTTGTTCTTATATCAACATTACTTTCTATGCTACAAAACACCTAAAAATGGAGTGTTAGTTTATCAAAAAAGGTCTGCTACTCATACCATTCAGTTACCTCATATGAGAAGGTTTTTCTGGCTGTTGTAATTTCTCATAAAATAAAGCAAATAAAGCAGACACAGCCATCAGCTGTCAGATTTTTAAAATATTTACAATAACTCAAATTAAAACACAGCCAAACACAGATAGTTGCTTTTTCATTTTTTCAAACCACAAACTGCATTTTTAGAGGGTCATGGCTCAGAAAGGATTGAGAACTGTGTAGCACTACTATTGACTGTTCCAATATTTATCTAATATTTATTAACTATTCACTCACTGAGGAGTTTGAGCTAACTATCGAGTTTGTGTCTCGCATGTCACGCACAGCAGGAGTCTGACTGGCTGCTCTTGTTTTCGTGTCTTGTGACTTACAGTTATGATGTTTATCAAATTGGCACTAAATATTTTCCTGTGTATTTAATGCAACAGAATTTTGTCATAAAGCACCTAACTGCTCTGCCTTTATACACTGTTTGCAAAATTTAATTTATGTAAGTATTATTCTATAATATGTATTGCAAAATGCAGATTTATTTCAGTGACAATGGAACAAAATCAGCCTCTATTAAGAGCAAGAAACTGATATACTGAATATGCATCAGAAAATACATGATATTATTCCTGTTAACTCCTGTTTAGTATTGTTAGTATTTTAAGATGAAAATATAAGATGTAAAAATGTAAATAAAAATGATGTAAATAAAGGTAAATGAGTTACAATAAATTATTCATTAGTATTTAGTACAACAAAGTTGATGGTGATCTTATAAGTGAGTAGAATGAGTTTTTTGGTAGAGAAATCAATTTAAATGTGACAGAGGAATTGTATTGCTGCATGTACTGCAATAAATAAAGATGCTTAAGTCACACGTCGTGAATTTGTTGTACAAACCTTTTGAGAGCTGAACCATAGTCATCTGTATGGCACAAAAAACGTGTAACATGCTTAATAATGCCTGCTGTTTTTATGTAGTCTGTTAGGAGTGACCTATAGGAAGCAATTTTTAAAATATCTTTAAAATACAGAGCTAGGTTAGAGTGATTATATATGTGATAGATATTTTCAGGAATACTGTATTTTATTTAAAACAAATATTAAAACTATATTTTAAAACTATATTTTCAATTAAAAAATGTTTGCTAAAAGACAACATTCTACCTAGTCCACTGATCAACTACAAAAAGCATAATTTTCCAAAGTTAAGCACTTTTTTGAAAAAAAAACAAAAAACTTTGAATGTTATACTGTGTTTGACTCAGAAGTCAGAGCTCAAAACAGCATTTCTGAGTGACAAAGTGGGAAAAGCATAGATACCTCATGGAAGCACGAGCAACAAACTTGCAGGCTAATGTAATTTATATGAGTGACTAACATGCATGATATTTACCTTCTCAACACATCTTTAAGGACGTTGTTACAGCTTTAGCCAATCATAAAAATAATGAGAATTCAGAACACCATTCCAAACTTCCAAGTGGGAATTGCCAGTTGAGGAGGAATTTACTTTAATTTGTACCTATTTTGAAGTCCAACAGTCAAACGCAGCATTATGCAGAACTAATTTCCAGTCAGATTAGCTTCCTGAACCGTGAAAAATACATGAAGTTAATCTGGTCTTTGTAATTAATGACTATTGATTTGTGTATTGCATATGCTTATTAGTGTACTATATGGGGCATCAGGCAGGTAATTCTAGTTAGAATTAACCACTACTATTTCTAGTAGTAGTAGTAGTAGTAGTGTGCATAAGGAGTAATGTTTTACTGTGTTGACTGCAGCATAAAATATGTGAATACACTGTGATGAAACACTATCTGCTCAGTGTTTATAAGTTGATATCCATTTTATCCATACAATCATTCCAGTAACTGTGATATGTGATTCTATATTACTACTAAAGTTAATTTGTATTGCTGACTACATATTTTTGTCAGAGTGGTTTTAGTCTCAAATGACACCAGTATCAAACTTCACATGAGCACACATGACTTGTTATTGTACCTCTATTGCCCTAGAGACTTCACGTGTACCATGGTAACTCTTTGTTCTTCAGCGGAGACTGCAGTTGTACTTGAGGTTTCCTCCACGTGTACCATGGAAAATTCTCGCAGACTATCTGGTCTGGCCTTAACAATCTTCATTTCTTCTATCTCTGACTTGGTTGAAGATGTTTTATTAGCCTGTTTACTCTCTGGTGGCATATTAATTTTCTCCTCTAAGGTCTTCAGAGAATTTGTATTAAAAAACTTTTTGTGTGAAATGCCCTCTGTATTAGTATCAGGAACCTGATCTGAGCCTAAACATTGCTTTGAAGGAGTAGGGAACTGATCAGAGGTCTCATGCAGGGTGTCTCTCTCAGCTGTTCTCTGATTCTCTTTTGAACTCACTGTATCACTGTCCTTACGCAAGCCTAGGAGAGTGACACTTTTCTTCCTCTTGGATGCATTTGGTACAATGGCATTAGTTGCTTCAATTCCTTTGAACATATTACGGATATTGTAACTCTCTTGAATTGTTTTAGGGGTATCTTTCATTCTTGTCTCAGAATTTAGGGGTGCTGTATGATCCGGATGATCTCTTGATTCATTTATAGGCAGATTAGTTGGGTCTTGAAGACTGTTCTTCTTCTCCATGTGGGTGACGCGGAACCTGTGATTTTATTACAAAAAGGTAGGATATTTTTTACATTTTGAGAGGAGGGAGATAGGGTCAAATACCTACATTTCATCTACAAAAATGCACAAAAGTGACAATGCTAACAATTACAATGATGTTTTCTTCCAGACAACAGGACTATCGTATTCATAAGGACTATGCACATTCAATTTTGGGTTTTGTGTCTCACCTGCCTACAGAGAATACAGTCTGCTCTCCAGGTCTGCCCTTGCTTCTGACCATGTGGTTTCTGCGTTGAGTTTTCTTGGGATGACCTTGCCCACAGTGATGGCAAAAGTTCTGAATACTTCCCAAGTGGATTGTATGATGATGTAGGGGAATGCCCTGCAAGCTCTCCTTGCGTAGTGATCTTAAAAAAAAAATAAAAAAAAAAATAAAAAAAAAAGACCTTCATTTAGTTTCTTTTAATGTTCCATTCCTAAACAAACAATAGGAAAAAAGAGACTAAGAATATGCTAACCTAATCAAATATGTTTTTATTCTGGATTTTAAAATACCTATTCAGTTTGAATTCCTAATATTCCCTGGAATGCTTATGTTCAGGAACTATACAAGAACAGGCAGGGACAATCTGTTTACACAGTGACCAAGTCTCAGACATCAATACATAAGTTGGCGTGACAAAACAAAATTAGTATTCAAGCCAAAATGATACTCTGTATACTTCAATGATCAAAAAATCTCAAAACATATCACAGTCAGAAGCCCAACTACACTCAACACACAAAAACTTCAAATTTTAGTTTGCAATGCATTTTCTGCATTACAATCAAGCTAGAACCAACAGACTTTACACAGCATTCATCTTATAGCCATAAGTTGTGCTTTAGACAGATCTTTGTGTAGCAGGAGTTCAAATTTGAATACATTCAATAGTGAAACATTCTGAACTGCAGCTAAAAGGTGATTTAAACCTTTAAACTAAAAATTAAAAGTTATATTCTTTTAGACACTTAATCTGTCAATTTACAGTTTAACAATGCAGTAGCATAGCTTAATGCAAACATTTAAACTGCTGCAACTTCTTCACTTCTACAGCTAAAGCCACTAAACTTATATACTTTTCAGACCCTTAACCAGGCTCTTAGACTGTTCTCGTCTCAAATAACCTTCAACTGAACTGAACCCTTGAGTTGTCCGGTATATGTACAGTACTGTGCAAAAGTCAAAAAAGTTCTTCCTTATTTAGTCATTTATTATTTTTCAGGAGATATTTCTGAGGAGATTAGATATAGATAATCCACTTACATAAGGAAGGGGAAAGTCATTCTAGTCACTGCAGTTTGTCATTTTAGCACTCAGACTGACAGTTTGTCCTTTTAGCACTTGTTGACTAAGACCCAATCCCATTCCAATCCCTTGACCCTACCACTTAGCTTCTTAGTGTTCATGCCTAGGGACAAGGTGTCCCGATTTTCTTGAGATGGAGGGGAAAGGCAAAGTGTCTGCCAAATGGAGGTTTTGCAGAGGCTCATTCTAAGCAGAGTGTTATGAGAATAAAAGAAAAACTGGCAAAATGCCTGTGCAAGAGATCAAAGAAACCCATTAATGTAATTAATTTCTTAATTAAAAAATTACGATAACCATTGTATTATCTTAGTTTAATGTTGTTTTAATGTAGTATGGTCCTTTTCTTCATAACAAGCATAAGAAATCACTAGTAGTATGCTGATGTCTTGTTATCTAGCTAGCTAAAATGAGAAAATAAAAATAAGAAATGGGATTGGGTCCAAACCTGCATTTAGTTAAGCATGGTAGGATTTAGGTGGCTTCACTTGTGATGTATTTTAAAGACATACAGCTCTATGTTTTTGCTTTATACCAAACAACGTATACAGAACCTTCAGATATTTTCACATACATGAAAAACTTTTTTCATTGGGGGGGTGGGTAGGTGGCTAGTGCAAAAACAACACTAGTAAAAATTGTAAACGATCTCAAGGAAACTTTTCTTTGCTGATTCTGCTTGACCTTAGTGTGGCATTTAATACAATAGACTACTCTATCCTACAAGACAGACTAGAAAACTGGAATAGCTCTTTCCTGGTTCAAGTCTTACCTGACTGATCGCTGTCAGTTTGTGAATATAAACGGCAAATCCTCTGTTCATACAAATGTAAAATATGGTGTTCCACAAGGTTCTGTTTTAGGACCTCTACTATTTGCATTATTCATGTTATCACTGGGTACCGTTAGCAGTAAACATGGCATCAGTTTCTACTGTTTTGCTGATGACACACAATTTTACATATTGACGAAACCAGATGATAAACTTCAACTTAATAAGATTGATGACTGTTTAAAAAAAGACATAAAAGACTGGATGTCAAGTGACTTTCACCTATTCAAATCAGACAAAACAGAGGTTCTTCTTGGTCCAAAAGCTGCTAGAAACAAACCTAATTTAACCCCCTTATCTTAATGGCACATATGACCAATATTACTAGAATAGCTTTCCTTCATCTTCACAATTTTGCCAAATAAATAAATGGGATGCATAAAAAATAGTTCATGCCATCATTATTTCAAGGTTGGATTACTGTAATGCCCTGCTGTCTCAGTTTTTACGTCTAGGCTAAAAACTTTCTTATTTACTCAAGGCTTTGGTAATTCATTTTTCTCCTGTTATATAAAAGATACAGATCTGGGGGTTCATGGACATAGGGTATTATGGTGAACTGGGAGTGTTGGTGCTGTCGTCCAGCTGCTCTCACACGTTCACTCAAGTTTGTTGACAGTGGAGTGGAGAGGCACTGACCTCTCAGAGAGCCCTCATGTGTTTGTTACCTTCTGGCTCTCCCTTTTAGCGAGGCTGCAATAGCTTAGAAATGCCAGAGTCACTGCTGCACTACATTGTATATTGTTCTCAGTCACTCCTAACTGCTGTTGGTGTGATAAAACCATGGACAAATGTGAATTTGCACTATGGTAACACATTTGCCCCAAACACCAACCCAAAGGAGTTAACAATTTATAAACACATTTTTCAGTGCAGGGGGTCTTTAACATCTTAGAAAGATTACAGTATTATAATCACAATAACTCTAACCATGCTGCTGACCAGAATACATACAACATGATCAAAAAATGATACCTTAGGTCACGCTGTTCAGAAGGATTCTGGTTTCCCAACATTTCGCTGAAAGCATCCAGATTGGCTAGAATCAAAATACAAAGGAGAAAAAATCAAATTTGCAATGTTTGTCTCTCTAGTAATATAATAATAATAATAATAATCATAATAATAATAATTATTATTATTATTATTGAACTGAAGACTGAAGAATCCAGTTAATAATTAATTACCAATAAATAACTGTTAATTTGCAAACAGATTTCTTAACAAATAAGTCAAAAGCATTCAATGTGTGACACAAATTTTAATTGTAAAGGTGTTCAGCTAAAAGAACTGAATCACTTGACATTCATTACTTGACATATTCAGGATACAGAAAATAATGTTTTGGGGAATTTCAATGACTTTAAATCACTTTGTGGGCTGTATAATTTTGCATGTCTCAAAGAGTTCTAAATGTTGTGGTGATCAGACTACCTGTTTTTGAGTAAGCTATTTTAGTCTGAAAATTTATTCATACGTGAAAGCCATTCTAGTCAATCATTTTGTTGTTTGAATAAACATTTTTGCATAATTATTTATTAGCAAAGAACATCCTAGGATTAGTGCTATTATCTGTTGCTATTAGTGCTATTATCAAACAATTGGCAAAGGAAAAAATACTACGCATTTTATTAAAAAAACTGTAATTCCAAAATGATGAAAAGCATGCAAAAAATCAGCTTAACTGAATAAAACACACATAACCAACTATCAACACACCAAAATTGATAGGCCTATACATTCAAAAGTTTCAACATAGCCTATAAAAATTCGACAAAGCATTCATGAGCTTCAGTTGTTTTAGTCAACTATGCCCTGATCTGGAAGGATTGACTAGCATGCTGCAGCCAGTGTTGGAGGTAACACAAAACAAAGTAAAGCATTGCAGTAAGGTAATTATTTTTCCTGTGATGAAGTAGTGTAAAGCTTTACAGCTTAAATTCTTATAATCACCTTGGTGTTACAAACTTTACAAGAACTGTGTTACTTTTGTTAATCAAATGCCTGCAAGAAAACAATATTAATTATGTGCAATCCACTTAAAACATAAATTTGATCTATATGTATTATCTGTGCCTATCATTGTACAGAATTTTAAAGTGCATGTGCTACCTGTGCATGTGCTACCTGTTAGGCTAGCACAGAATGAGGGTAAAAACTTTCCACCAATGTAAATTCACGGTCAAAGAATAATAATGCTAATATGAAACTGATGGAACAGCTCTGTAAGTTTTATATTATTTCATTAATAAAGATTTTATTTTGAACTGTTTTTTTGAGGCTTTTCAGGTTCTTGTGACACCAATTTTGTGAGGATTAGGAAACAATTCCACAACAAGTTTGCAAAAGCATGCTTTGTGTATTATGCAAAATAGCAAAAAAAACTTTCCAGGCAGAGCTTTTTGGTCCTTGATGCCAGCACTGGATATGTTCGGTGAGAACAAGTTTACTTGATTTTGCATTCATGGCACATTAACGAATAGCCATTAATTCAACATTTTTACCAGGTAAACTTTTTAAATAAACCAGGTAAGTATTTAATTTATATGTCTAATTAATATGACGTATGTAATGTGCTCATAGCACTTTACCTTCATTTTCAATAATACATTTAAGTATTTTCTCTACAGTGTCTTGATTGTCTTCGGATTCATCTGTAAATAAATAAGCAAACAGGAAGAAACAAATCAATGAACAGTATTTAGAGAATAATATAATAGTATTAATTTAATTAATTTCACAATGAAATGAAACACTACTTGTATCACTTGGATTGTAACAGCCATTTTGCCCCAAAATAGTGAATTGGCAAAAACTTACAGCTAAAATTTGCTGTACATACCAACTGGAGTTATAAAGATAATGAAGTTAACAAAAAAAAGCTTAAACATCCAGAGAACCTAGGTCTGTATTTTCTTTCTAATTATGTTAATCTTGTTCTTGTAAGCAAACAGTAAACATGCACTAAGTACACCCCTTGAATAATGTTCCACTCCTAATCTTGTGCAAAGGTTGAATTATACTTTCTGCATACAGCATCCATTGCCTTTGAGGACGAAAGGGGTGCGCGTACCTCGCGACGAAGACCTGTTTCATACTAACTTGTAGCATGTATAGAGGTGCAACAATATTCTCCTCTCCACTAGGTGGCCCTCTTCAAAAGTCTCCATGTCCCTGTTTGGCGTCCTCGTCGGCAGCGCTGCCAGAGCTGGTTTATAAGAAGCCTGGCCACTTCCTATTCCCCCTGTTACGTCAAGAACATGACTGCAAAATGCTAGAAGGTGCCTGCGAGCAAGTCCTCAATGAATGGGAGTAAATGGTTTGCAACGGCTAAAAATGAAAAGTCAAAATAGTTTCTGATAGTTTGCTTACAACTTTCCTTTAATTTTATAAAGTAGAAGGATGTATTTCACTAAATAAGCAAAGAAGACTTACCTATATATTTCCTTTTATCTACAGCAAACGGGAGCAGCAGGATACTAACATTACCGCTAGTGAGTGCTGATTGGTTGGCGAGCGGAGCAGCTCATTAGCTGTTCGCGCTCACAGACGTCATCACAGGGGCATGTCTGGATGTGTGACGTCATTTAGCCGTGCGGACCCTTGCTCAGGTATAGCCCAGGTTTAACACTGCCATAAACTTTTCCTGAAGGGCTCACGTCTCTTGCACCGCCCACACAAGACAGTTTTTTGAAACTCAGCAAGCTAAAACTAACTCAGTATAACCAAAAGCTAGCAAGCTCGACCTCCTGTCTGTAGCTGCATGTGCATGTGTATTCGTTTATCAATATACATTGTTCATTCATCCTTCATTGTTCACATGTCATCGTTCACATTGTTCACACGTCGCTTCATCCATCCATTTGGTTGTCCATCCGTCTGTCTGCATGTCTGTTTACGTTGCTTCTTCTGTCCATTCATTTGTCCGTCCGTTTGTTCCTCTGTTTGAACATTTGTAAATCCGTGACTTTTTAAAGTTACCATCACATAAAAGCTGGATAAAATTTTTAGTTCTGAATGAGTGGCAGAGTGGGCTAGGAGAGTTGAGAGTGATCAATAATCTCAATACATAATCTCAAATAAACTTGCACATGTTTTTTATGACACTGTATGTGGCTGCACAATGTGACAATATTGAAATAATCATGTGAAGACACAAAAGAGATCGCAGAGATCACGATGGACCTTGCAACAGTGTTGTAGTCAAGACTGCTAGAGCTGAGTCCGAGTCAAGGCAGAGACCAGATTAAGATTTTTTTCGAAATATAAAAAATGACAATAAGTACACTTATAATTCAGATAAATACTTATTATAAGCAATTTCCTTTTTTTTTTAAATGTCAGTGCTAAAAAATAACTTGTTTATTACAAATTTAATAACAAGTTTACATACACTCCTGCTGTATGACATCATATTATCTGTAAAAAAAAGGACAAAAGTCTGTTGCATAGCTAATTACATTTTGAAGCCTTTTACAGATAACAGTGTGTCATACAGTGTGATGCAAACATGTCTTGTCTCAACAAGCAGTGCAAACTTTTTAATTATGAGTTTCCAAAAAATTCTCTTATTGCAATAACATGGTAAAAATTAAATAGGTAGACACAGCAATAAACAGCAAAATATATGACACACAAAATGCAAAAAACATTTTTAGTCTGTCACTCACCGTCACTGTCTGGCCCAAATGTGTTTTTACAGTCTTCATTTTCAGACTCAGCTCTACGACAGCGGTATCCTTTTTCCTTAAGCATGTGGCAAATGATAAAACCCAAAAGGCCCATGATGAAAAAGCAAAAGACCAGGACGAATATTATATATGGAGATCCTGTGTTCTGGTCAGTCATCCTCTCCTTATATCGTCACGCACAGTCTCTGTTTAGAGGGCAAAGAGAAACAAATGGCTTAATGCCAAAATGATCACATTTTACCTCTCAAATTCCATATGATGGGGCCTTTCTAGCTGACATACGTACCCTCCCTGCAGAGTTCATGGAGAACTGAGATCTTGTCACACCATCGGACTGTCTTGGCTGTGAGAGATAATTTCCCTGTCAGTTCTTGCGGTACACTTCTTGCTAACCCAGTTTTATCTTACTCTGCAGATGATTAAAGAGGAGAATCCACACCCTCTTCTGTTTTTAAAAAGATGTATTAGACCTGCAAGAGAAACATGTAATTAAGTTACTAGCTTGTTTATACTGGAAGCTAGAGCAAGTCTAACAGAGAAAATAGTTCATTACATTTGGAATGTGAAAACCTTACCTTACCAATTCAGGTAATAGGTTTGTGCAATATATATATATACATATACATACATATATTTATATGCATGTATAGCTGCTCATGTTTTTTTTTCTAAAACTGTGTATTAGAATGGAAGTTTTAAATAAAGCAGACCTAGGCCTGTTCATGTGCTTGTCCAGACTTGTGCTTTTGATGTGTTGCCATCATGCTGGACATGCGAAAATTCAGTTTTTCAACAGTGAATTTTGATCAGTGTTGGAAAGACAAATGTCTCCCCAGCTTGAATTTCTGGCAGAGTTATACAGGTTTTGTCCAGGATTTCAGTGTATGGTGCACCAGTCATATTACCATCAGTCCTCACTGCATAGAACATAAACACCATTTTATTCAATTCCAGTTGCAGTATCTCTACTTTCGCCCTCAACAAACAGTATTTGGTTTTAGCAATGAATCAGTCCAGCACATCTGCTTATGTATAGAGGTGGGTGATATGCTAAAAATATAATACTGTGATACATCAAGAAATTTTCACAATACACAATTTTTTCAGACATCTGATCAGTTGGAACAGAGAGAAAAGAACGAGCAGTGCTACACATTAAAAATACTATCAAAACTGTTAATCCAATTATTTTTAATTGATTTACTGTGTTGCACTAAATCCCATTAAATGGGACAAATTTTGCTCTCTTTATAATGAAACATGCGGTTCGTCAGTGTTCTAAAAGTACTGACTATATACCTATGTTCAAAAGCATTATATATTGTATTGTGACATATGTGTATATATATGTATGTATGTATGTATGTATGTATATGTGTGTGTGTGTGTATAGTCATATTGCCAAGCCCTACTTCTGTATAAATGCAGTCTGAAAGCTTCTAAAAATTACTGTCCTTCCAAAAAAAGCAGTAACAATATTGAGATTCTCCTAGATTCAAACTGTTTTGGCATGTATAAAGAAGACAAGAAACAACATAAGGAAAAATATATGGATGCTACAACAACTGTTAAATAGCCTTTTTTTTAAATAATATCTAACGATTTCATGCTATGAACTTTTTCTTGACAGTGACTACATCTTACCCCAAAATGCCCATTATTGGAAAGTTGTGAGGAACAGGCAATTGCTTGTAAAACTGTTTTTGCTATCAGACTGATGAAAAACTAGCGCACAGAAGTGCGTACACATAAATGTGTGGATGGCCAATGAGAGTGGAACTGACAAAATTCCAGTAGTTGTGGCCAACTTAGTGTAAGATGGTCCAGGGGCTAGCTTCCAAGACTGAGACTAGATAATTCTCTTAATGCAATGGTATAGAAACGTCTTATGCTATGATTAGAGACTGCAAAACATCTCTGTGTTTCACTATTTAATAACAGTGCCACTCACACACATTCTTACCCTTCAGTAAGCCTATATGCAGGTTTTACTATTCCATTGTTGATATTGTTTTCCGCTTATCTTTTATTGCTTACAGAGTTATGAGAAATCATTGGGATGATATTTGTTATATATTTGTTATATTTTATATTTAATTAATTATATATTTGCACCAGGTAGGCATTTTTGTTAGATGTAAGTTGTCTAACTGTTTCAGCAAAGAATGCAAAGTCTCCTTGCCACCACAAAGATGTCCACCTTTCATCTGGAAGCATGTTGTGCAGAGCCATTTTTCAATTGAACCTTGGGTTCATTTCAGAACGCAGAAAACCACTTTCGAAAAGCTGTGCTCCTCGATCACACCATCTGTAGGAAACATGGTATCATGTGACTTATGGCTTAATATGTAATTGTTTATTTGAAAAACTCTTTTCCATCAGTGTTTCGGCTTTACCGATATTCTAGCTTTTTGATTCTATTAAAACAAAACTAAGTCTGGCATTGAATGTCATATATGTAACCCCTTTGAAATTTGAAATGAAGCTTCGGCTACTTCACATCATTTCTGTCAATGAAGTGATAATACTTGATTAAATTAATGAACAAATAATTAAAAATAGAATCAAGCAGATCTACTGCTTTATTCCATTGTCATTTAGTTTAATTGTTTGTGATAGGTTTCTATACTTTGAATGATGCAGCGATTACTGCACCCAAAGGTCATGCTTCTTGTGGAGTCCTGAATCAGCGGAGGATGTAATGCACCAAATTCATGGTTCAAGTACACAGGTAAACACAGAATATCACAGAATAGCAGACTGAGTAAAGCAACGTCTCTCATCCAGTGTTTGTAAAACGCTAAGAGCTGGCGATTTGAAGATGAACTATTGCACCTCAACTTGAAACTACAAAACAGCTTACAACGTTCATTTTGGGTGCAGGTTCTGTACTGGTTAGTCTAAAGATTAATGCGATGTCTCAGGATGATTCGGTGCTATTACCAAGATGGTTACACTGTCCAGTTCTCTAAAGAATTGCTGTAGCCGGTTACGATTTATACCTTTAGAAATAGTAATGCTCGCTCTACCACCTTCCAGTCATTTGTGGAACAACGCTTTTCACCTTTTACTAAACTCACCTCTAAAAAACGCACGTGCCACTCAGCGCGGCATCACACTGCACCAATTCCCATGATACACACCAAGCCGAAATAATCCCTACTTAATGTCATTCGAAGTAATGCGAATACGCTACTCTCCGTTATTTTATGAGACTGCGAGGGTGATAATGGCATAATTACTTAAATTATATCTTAATCTCTGTAACATCCACAGAGAAAATCAGCTTCACCAAAATAAACCAAAGACGGAAAATGACACGCGAGTGAACTAATCTGTAGGTGAAAAAAAGGCCACAGAGTGTATATAGCCAGTCCCGGACTCTTGTAGAACGCGCACGAAACGTCGTTGTTTAACAGCCTAGAAAAGTAGAGATACAACGTAAAGCTTGACTTATCAACGCATCATCCGAAAACCTGCAGGTAGCTTCTAGCGGGCACGCGCCGAGGCAACAACCGAACCGACGCAGAGGCGCAAGCAGCCAGCTCGTCCAATCCTAACAAGTGCAAACGCTTACACTGTCTGCCCGCTCAGTCGCGAAATGACTATTTAAACCAGAAAATGACACACCTAACTTTTGTTTGGTAGTCTTATGAATGTATAAAAGTCATTCTACTGGTTTAAAACAGGAGTGAGCAGGGTTGGTAATTTTCATTCTTTGCTGTATGTATCAGGTGTATTAGGACAATACCATAGGAAAATGTATGGTATGAAAACTAGCAGCAAATGAAAGCTGAACATCTTAGCTTAAATACAGGCGCTTTTAATGTCAGAAAATATTTTTTAGGTATTTGATAGTTTAGCTTATTGTATGAGTAACTTGATGCTGTGCCAACCGCAACAAGGCACAATTTTTGATTGGCCCAACGTTAAAGGCTGACTATAGTTTAAAAAACAAAGCAAACATATAGAAATATTCAGAACTTTTCATTTGAACCAGACCGCTAATATAAACATTCACATCATTCTTTTATCATTGCCCTGTATTGAACAGTGGTGGTACACAAAGTACACAAATCCTGTACTTGAGAGAAAGTAGAGATACACTTTACAAAATATTATCAGAGTACACTTAGAAATCTTCAGTTTATATTTCAAATTTAAAAATTCACTTTTAATACATATGTAGCTTGGGTTTAAAGTTATGTTATTTTCATCTTGAGATCTTGAGTCTCACTCAGCAAATGCCCTACAGCTTAGAAGTTACAATAATTTGTTAAAGATCTAACGTAAATGTTATATAAACACTGCATTCTGCGAGTGGAGTTGTATGTTTCGATGAATGGCGATCTAAATATGTAATATGGTGTGGTTTGCTGTTTTTTAATAATAATTCCTTATTATACAGCAGTTGCTACAGTTAAACAGTTGTACACCGATCAGGCATAACATTATGACATTATGATCCTTGTTTCTACACTCATTGTCCATTTGATCAGCTCCACTTACTAGATAGGTGCACTTTGCCATTCTACAATTACAGACTGCAGTCCATCTGTTTCTCTACATACTTTGTTAGCCCCCTTTTACCCTGTTCTTCAGTGGTCAGGACCCCCATGGACCCTCACAGAGCAGGTACTATTTGGGTGGTGGTTCATTCTCTGCACTGCAGTAACACTGATGTGGTGGTGATGTGTTAGTGTGTGTTGTGCTGGTACGAGTGGATCAGACACAGCAGTGCTCCTGGAGTTTTTAAAAATTGTCCACTCTATTAGACACTCCTACCTTGTCAGTCCACCTTGTAGATGTAAAGTCAGAGATGATAGCTCATCTGCTGCTGCAGTTTGTGTTGGTCATCCTCTAGTCCTTCATCAGTGGTCACAGGACGCTGCCCACAGGACACTGTTGGCTGGATATTTTTGGTTTGTGGACTATTCTCAGTCCAGCAGTGACACTGAGGTGTTTAAAAACTCCAGCAGCACTTCTGTGTCTGATCCACTTGTACCAGCGCAACACACACTAGCACACCACCACCACATCAGTGTTACTGCAGTGCTTAAAATGATCCATCACCCAAATAGTACCTGCTCTGTGAGGGTCCACAGGGGTCCTGACCACTGAAGAACAGGGTAAAAGGGGGCTAACAAAGTATGCGGAGAAACAGATGGACTAATTGTAGAAATACAAAGTGCACCTATATAGTAAGTGGAGCTGATGAAATGGACAATGATCACAGAAACAAGGAGGTGGTCATAATGTTATGCCTGATTGGTGTAGCTTGTAGCTTTTGTACTCTTCCTCTAAGAAACCTATTAGAGGTACAAAGTTGGACCTTAAAAGCATTGTTGTACCTTTGAAGGTACATTTGCATTATTTGCACCTTGATAAATGAAAGATGTACCTGCACTGTACCTTTTTTTTTCTGACAGTGCTGGGAAACCCTGACTTCCACTACTATACATCACCAGTGCAACTGACCCATAACCTTTTCAAGAGTAAACTACTATGTTGAAGGGTTACTACGTCTCTCTTGTGCAGTTCTATACCTTTAGTAAGTCTTAGCATATATACTGCATGCAGAGTGTGTGCTCATTTATTGGAACCAATGGGCTGTTTTCAGTGCAGGAAAATGGAAAAGGATTACACAGCATATGTAAGGATAAGTTAGATATATTTGCTTGTATCAGAAGATGCTTTATCATTACAATGCACGTAAAAGAATTACAGGTATTGTGGAATGAAGCCTAGGAGACACTGGAGAAGTTTCAGGAATACAGATCTAAACTAAAAATATGTTGGAAACTAAGATGACAGACCGACTAAAAGAGAGAGAGCACTTAAAAAGAAGAAATGAACCAAGCCAAAAAGATGGTAATGGAGGAACTTAAAAGCTTGAATCTATGATTATCAACAGCTAAAATGTTTACTGTTGATGAAAAAAGAAGTGCAAGGGCAGGAAGGAAAGCACTGGAGAGCAGAAAAGCACGGGATGGAGTAGACAGTAAAGAGGTTTGAATGTGAAAGGCAGATGATGAGCATGCTGTTAGAAAGATGATATCGTTTGTGGGAAGCAAGTAAGCCAAAGCCCAAATAAGAAAGAAAGATTGGAAGATGATGCAGAAAAGAAGGATAAGTAACTCAAAAGGCCAAAAAACACCAGAAGAAAATGACAAGTACAGAAAGCCATAAAGGATGTGAATGAAAAAAAGGCTGAAAAAAAGAAGCTTCTGAAAAAAAGGCTGTTTAATAGAATGAAAGAAAGAGAGTGAGGGCTCGGAGCAACAAGAATTAAAGAAACAGAATGTATGAGTTTTAAAAACATGATTAAACACTCCAAGTTTCCCTTGATGCTTGTTAAAGTGATACATCTACAATAAAACAAACGCAACTATATAGGAGAAACAGAATCTTTAGACATCTTAAATGATATTATTTATAAATTAATAAATAATTGTTGATTTTGACCTTTTTGGCACTTAATGTGACTTTTTAAAGAGATTTTGACTAGACCATTGCAACTACTAGTACAAGTCAAACAATGTTAGTATAATTTTGATAATGTCCTTTCATTGCGTTATATCTTTACTGTATGGACGCTAAGACACAAAAAACTGTGTTAGCTGTTTCTTTCAGTAAGCACCACATGCTCCATAACCATCAGGGGACACAATCTTTTTAAAATATTGTTTGCTAAAAAGCACAGTGTGCAATGGTTCAGGCCAGTAAATTATTAGTGAAGACAACTGCCATGTACTAATCTTTTCCAGATAGATCGGACACTAGAGGGCTCTCATGAGAGAGTGTGCAATATGATTGGGGATCCTATGGAGCTTTTGAGTAAAAGTGCAATTTTAGAGTGAATTCAACAACAGTGGGACACTACAGAATCCCTATAAAAGCTAGATATTTGTATACAATATTTTTATATTTGTACTATGGTATAATTGGTAGCACCCTTGATCATGCAGTTTTTTTACTAACTTCTTTTGCATTAACTAAAGACCAGACCAAACTTACTGGACATAAGAACAGGCAATACACAACACATGCCTTTGACAGGTTTATAAGGTCACTGGTTTATCTCCCAAATCTTTTTTTATGCAATTCAAGTGCCAATATATCTAATCCTGCAGATTTCACCCATGTGTGCATATTCATTTACTTTTTTTAGGTTTGTCCTCTGAAGGTATCTGCAGGAACTGTTGCAGAGGTTACTACACAACACACACCCATGGCATCCACCTATGAAAATAAAAAATATATATATTATGCTTGTTAGAAGTCTGAACTGTGATGGACTGGCATGTATGATGCCTTTAAAGACTCCAGATGTTGTTATACATACCTAAACTGACCCTCCATCATGCTTGACTGATGGTTGTAGTCAGGGTTCAAAAAAAGCTTTCATTTTGCATGCATAATCTTCTGTTGTTTTCAAAGATCTCACATTAAGACTCATTACCACATAAAATCTTACTCCACGTCTCAGATGTCCAGCTTCAGTGTTCTTGTGCAATTATTCTGCTTTATTTTATTCTCGCAGTAATGCCTTCTTAACAGCTACACATGCTTTCAGACCCATAGCCTTAAGCAGCTTTCTCACAGTGAAAGAATGTGCATACACCTGCTGATTTTTTCAGAAGCAAAAGTGGAACCTGATATTCTCCCAACCTCTCACATTCTCAAAGATGAAAGCTTTAAGTGCTGTTTACCTGATGGAGAGTTTTAGTCTGGTCTACAAGGCCTTGCACAGTTGTTAAGAGTCCCATTTTGTCTACACCTTTTAATATTTTTTTTTAACTTAAGTTTTGGAAACTCCTGCTTTTCAAGTATTTTCCCCTTAGCAAAGAACTGTAAATGTGAGAACTCAGACTCAACAAACTTCAGTGGCAAGGTGAATGATTTTCATCTATTATTAGTCCATACTTTGTTTAACAAAATATGTGTAATTCCAGCTCTAACATTTACATATGTTGAGGAAGACACCATAATGTGTGTTATTTCAAGTGTTACATAGTATAGGCTGAAAAATGCACTCGTTTTGGAAGAAGATACATTGTGAAGCATCTTATTTCACTAGGAAAGATTTTTTGTGACCAGTTCATAGTTTTACATGTTTACTGCAAATAATACATAAAGTAACTATTTAAGAAAGACAAAACAAGGATACACAAGAAAATTTTCAAGTCAGAAAATGCTACACAGGCGAGTGTCCTATGTTAAAAATACTATGCATTTACAGTACAATAACCAACAAAAAAGCACTTTGAGATGGCTTCTGCTCAATTACATGGCAAGTCAGCTTTTAGTAAACAGAGTCCAATTTTTAGAAGAAATGTGGAGGACTTCCATTGGCTGGAGGTCAGATTTCCACATCACTCTCTTTGTCATTGTCATGATCGCCGTCATAAAATTCATTTGCTGCCTCAGGCCTGTTGATCAAAGAAAAAAAAAAAAAAGACATCTAATCACTCTTATGATTTAAATGAGTTATACCTTGAAAAACTGGATCAAAGAGAATTTGTTCTTTGAAATATGAAAACCCCAAAAATTACTGTGATATGAATATTCATGCAATGCAGTTTCCTCATTGTTGCCAGAGAAAATTCACAACCTGCATTACACAACAGTGTCAGAAACGACTCCAGTTGGGATGTAGATTGTAGATTTTAATATTATTGGGCTGTGGTTAAACAAAGAGTTTAGATCAATTATTTATAACAGGGGTCCAAATGTTTTTCAAATGAGGGCAGAATAAATCATATCAAAATACCCGAGGGCCAGTGCACAACAGTGTAAGGCATAGATTACGTGCTTTCACAGCACTTTGCTTTGCACATGGTCATTTCCCCACTCGCCGCTATACCATCCAAATATAGTTAGTTAACATAGAAATCGGCTATGAAGAAAACAATACAATCATATATTTCTGAGAAGAACTCTTAATGAAAAGACATATTTACATTTATGATCTGCTCCTCTGATTACGGTTCTGGGTTTGTTATCCGTGCTTGATATTTTGGGAATGAATCCAGCACTATGATTGGTAATTTTCGGAAGGGTAGATGCTGCTGCATCTCGCTGTTATGCTGCGTTTACATGTTTGAGGTAGGTGAACGACAACAAACCAGATATTCTATTGTTTTCAATGGACCAGCAGAAAATTCCACCCCCACCAGTGCCTGCGTTCTGCAGTCCACAGCGGTAGGCGAAACAGTCTGTCAAGAGTTCAGTTTCCCCAACTTTTGCCGTCAACTGCAGTGGTGGAATAAACCAGATGTTGATTTTTTTGGGAGCCATGGATGCCAAACATCTTTTTGAATTCCAGACGAACTCAGTATTGTACAACAAAAATAAAAGAGCACACAGAGTGTCCTCCCGCCCTTTTCCACCATAAATAATGAATCTACACTGCTAGAGCTCTCCCCTGATAATCAGTCATTTTTGTTGGCACCATGGTCACCATGCCAACGTTGATGTAGCTTCATGCAACCGTCGGTCGCTATGAGGTGCGGAATGACTGTTTTTCAATGCAACCATGCAAAAATACTGCACATACTGCATGTGCACAACTGAACTCAAAGATGTCACCAGCTTTTTGCGTAAAGTGACAAATTACTTTGATGTCAAAATGTGAACCTGCTATGCAAAATGCGCACAGGTTGGCAGGACTGCTCTTGATAAAAAAGTATTCTGATTTCCACCTGTCTTGAAATTGCTGGTTCTCATGGTCAACTCTGTTTTTTTGGCTGTAGTCATGTCTAAAAGTTATAAAGTAAATTAATTTGCAGGTCTAGTGAAAGATCTTAAAAACACTGTACATCTCACTGATTATCATGGTCTAACTTTTAAGACTTTCAGCAATCCTGCACAAATCTGGCTACATAAGGGAGTGATTAACACTTATACAAAATCCAGCAGATAAAGTAAAAACAGCACAGGGTAGTGCAACAGTAACACAGTCAGCTTTGATACCGTCCAACACTGTAGAAATACCAGCAAGTCCCTGACAATATTTCTCTGGACACGGCTATTTCCAACCTCTACCTTAAGCTGAAAAGAAAGAGGAGCTGGGCGATTGTTTAAAATGCCACAGATTGGACTGGCTTCCGTATTTTACAGTCACATATTTAAAAAATAAAATAAAGATTTTTAAAAAACAGCGATCCCACCCACATTCTCTGGCTGCCCTATAACAGGTTTCTATGAGACAAATAAAAATATCCTGTCAACCACCCAACGGCAGGTAGCTCACCTGGAATAGTTCTCTTCTGAACCTCTTTCATCAGGATCAGCATCATCTGTGCGCTCATAGCTCAGCAAGTCTGAGGGAACGTCATGGATCTGAACACTTGGTGCATGGTTTAGCATCTTCAAATTCTCAAAGACAGTCTGACGAATCTGTTCTAAGTACTGTGGAAAAAAGGGAATCACAATAAGTTTTTAAGGAAATGTTTTAAATAACAGTTAATTTAATGTCCCTAATCAAGGTCTTCATGAAACATTTAAAAAAAAATATTTGTTTGTAATACCCAGACATTTACAAGTCCTAATATAGTCCACTGCAGGCACTGTTAGTCATTAACATTGCAAAACACTGCCATACCTGTCTGGAGTTTTGGTTCTCAATCCTTGTGCTGACATCTGGATGAAGTGTGAAATCAGGTGCAAAATATTCAAAGTACTCTGTGTTGAAGAAGTAAAAGCCAAATATCAATATCAGCACATGTCTTTGCGGGGAAGTATCAGATGCAGAATGATCTGAAATTTAAGTGATAGTTTGGAATTGTGAAAAAAGGAAGGTCCAAAAAAAACGAAACTGGGAATGCCACTTTGGTGGCATTAGGTTGAAATTTTGACCTAGAGTCTGCAGGAATCTGGAGGTTCTAACTTGAACACTGTCAGAGTTTAAACATTTAGAAGACTAAGGAAAGTTTTAGTTGTTTTAAAGATTGGTGACCTAGCTCAAAGGTCAAAAAGCAGTAAAAATGATTTGTTCTATTACATGATGGAGGGATGAATGAAGCGGCAATCTCAAATCAGAAGACAATTCATATGAACATCATAGAACATCACTACATTTGGTGATTATGGGGTAACTAGAGCATTTGTTATAAGTGCAAAAAGTTCATGTTTAACCATTAAACATCTAATCAATGTAAGCTTTAGATCAGAGAGGTCAAACTGGGTTCCTTATGAGCCACAGCTCCACAGAGATTAGCATTATCCTCCTGTTACCACTAAGCGCTTGCTAATTAGCTGATCAACTTAATCAGGTGAGTTTAATGACACGATGCTAAACTCAACAGAGCTCTGGCCCACAAGAAACACAGTTTGACACTCTTGCTTTAGAGTACATAATTTTACAGCAGCTGTAAATGAAATCTGATGCACTTTTAAAATGCAACTTAAAAAAATAAATAAATAAATACTCAGACATACCACTATAAGGTAGTTCGTCACTAATGGACTCTTCAACTAGCAAAGATGTTTCATATGTCCTAAAACCAAATGTTACAGATATGGTGCACCATTAATGAAAAGTACAAACATTAGTCTCAATCTGCATTTTATAAATTCTAAATTAAGCATATACAGTATATAGTACAATCAACCCACCAACATCTAGCCACGTTGCGTACAGTGTACCCTCCTCCACCCAGCACAAGCAGGGGGATCTTGAAACTCTTCACAAACTCCACACATTCCCTGAAGTAAAAAGGTCAAACAAAAATGTGGCATATTAAAGGACACACACAAGCACCAAACAGGTTTTGGAAAAGATACAGACTCTCTCACTGACCCATTCACTTCACTCCGACTGCCTGATCCACTCACTCAGTTGGCTGACCAACCCACTAACCCATTCATTTGGTCAGACGGACTGACTCAAACAACTGATTAACTCACTCACCTTTTGTATTAATTTACTTGTTCACTGACCAAGCAACCAACTCATCAACCCACTCATGCACTTAGACATTTACTCAGCTACTGAACGACTCACAAGCTCACTCATACGTTTTTAATTTTTGAAACTTTCGCAATAAGTGTGTGTACAGTTGTTTAGTGTGGGCAATATAGGGGCAGTAAGATGTCAATATATCCTAGCAATGCTGGCTATCACAGTGAGCCACTCAGAGTGTATTATATAAAAATTATTCTTACCCATGACCTCGTATACTGAGATTGAAGCATCCCAGTCTGTCACAGCCCAGTGAGTCTGCTCCACACTACGGACACCATGTATTGACGAACAATATAAACAGAAATATTAATAAGAAAGACTTTAAACAGTACACATTTTAAAAAAAGAGGGTTTAAAAATAAAAAATACACCACCGAAGGATATTCACTTTTACCTGAAGCACAATACAGGTTGGCTGATAGAAGTCAACTACTTGCTTGATCACAGGCTGAAACAACTGTCTGTAGCCTAATAAGAATAACAATGAGAGAAAATCATCATCAAGATTATCTTTACTTTGCTTCATGAAAGCTGTATTCAATATCAATACAAATCTGGAATGCTAGGCTCTTTCTGGGACTTTTTACTCTGTTTAGTTGCTTGCAGTGCTCTTGATACTGTGGCTTTATTAAGATTAGCCACCAGTACCCTAAAAGAACCTACTGAGGCAATTCCACAGTTTGTGGGTTTAGGAATATAAGGTCCCAGTGAAAGAGTTCACTGCACTATTAAGACATTCAGTATCAAAGCCACAGGCACCAATTCTGTTATAAAATAGTATTCTGCATCATGTACATTTTGTTTTGGAGTATGTTTATAGTTTCATGAGCCATGTCAATTTTATTGCTAAGTTAATTAAAAATATATTCAGATGAAGAAATATTAAAAAAATAAACATCAAAAAAGGTTATGGTCCTGGTATAAATCTACTTTGCTGCATCAGTAGTAGAATTTGGTAGTAATTGTGTACACAACATGTATAAAAAACAGAAAAGTTATAGAATAAAAGTTGATGACTCCATCTCGGTACAACATTCACAAGCGGAAAAAGCTGTATTTAGAAATGAGTTCCCTCATAAGTATTTACTGGAGTACATCAACATTAGAAATATTCTCTCTCCAGAACAGTGCGTTTGTGCTGTTTACCTCCCTCTTATTGTCCATTAATTTTTCAAAACTTCCTTTAAGTAAACCTGATTTTGAACAGTGGTTAATTTGATTTCTCCTGTTAGACAGGGCCATGTTTATTTGTTTACACTGCCTGTGACTCTGTCATTCTCCAAAATGAAAGACGCAAAGTGTAACCACAGTAACAGGCATACCAATGATGCTGCAGTAGGAAGTCTGATATCACACTGGTCCCATGATGAAAACTGACTGACGTAAAAGTTGCAAGAATTCTGACCTGGCTGTTCAGAAAGAAGTTGCAATGCCACATGAGATATGTATCAGTACCACATACAAAAGTGGCCCATACTGGAATAGAAAATGACATTCAGTATTTTCTTCTGGACTCCATGTTGCTTCCATGGATTTGCATCTTTTATTTAGGAGAAAAACTTAGGGTCAGATGCAACTTTTTTGGGTAAATCTCAGAGAAGAGAAGGTTTGTTTTTTAAACACATATCTAAATTAGAACAGCGGTGAAATACATTCACGTCCACAGACAACAGCAAAGGGAACAGAAAACACAACTCTCACATGGGTAAACCATGGTGGTGTTATCTTAAAAAAAAAAGTTTCATTTTCTCAAGAACATTTTTCTGTTATTTCGGGGAAACATAATGACACATAACTTGAGATCTCGATAATACAAATAGTAATTAAGTCTTTACCAATGGAAAAGGAGGGTTGTTTTTTTAAAAAAAAAAAAAGCCTTTAAGAGCTTCCGTAATATCTTTCCATTCACAATGTGTTTCACATTTGAAGATCCTGGGCCACATTTTCTTGCAGTGAGCAAACAGCCTAAAATACACAGTACCTTCACTAGCACTTCAAATAACTGTGAAGATTGATTCCATGATGTAACTTCATTTTAAATGGCTTTGCCAGCTAGTATATGGTCAATATTTTTATTATTGTAGTTAGAGGCTGATGTAATGTGATTAAGCTGGATATAGGTTGGCCAGCTGGCAAAATAACATCAACTAAGTGAGCAATGTATAACTTTAATCATTTATTTCCTCACAAACTAACCATCTACAGATGACCATAATCAGTTGATCCTAAACCTTCAACTCATCTTATAGGTAGTTCTCTGTTTTGTAGAGATGGTAATTGAGCTAGCTGGCCATCAGGCTGTGTAACTTCAGTTAACCTGAGCAGTGAGTACTTGACAAAAGATAAATTTTGTTTATTTTTCCAACACTCATTAGTTGCACTAATTGGTTTGCAGATAAACCCTTATAACACCAAGTTAATATGCATTTTTAAAATGAAACCTTTAATTCTTTTAAACAACAGACTCTACGGTGTTTGTTTTTCAACTTTGCATTCTAAACCTCAGAGATAGTCTTACCTTGTACAGTACTCTCTATAGTGGTCTTCCCTCAAGGCCTTATACCTTATATAAGTTCATCCTTCTAATTTTTTTGTCTCATCCTCTTATTCATTAATATACAATTTTTTCTTATTTAATGCCATCTCCAAGCACATATATATTCTATTATCTAAATGTCTTAAGTGTTTTTCATCTTAGTCCTAAGAATAACATATGAGAGAGAAAAAGAAATTAATGCAGTAGATGTAAAAACACTTTCTTCATGATAAAGCTGACAAGTAAGAAAAAGCTGCTAAAGTTGTAAATCACTTAGAGCTGCAGCTTATCTGTCAGAAGTTCCCCTCAATATGTGAACATGTTCAAGTTCATGTGGCAGCAAAAATTTAAGAAGTGAGAGACTGATCATTTAAAGTGTTAAATTTGCTTCATGTTGTAAGATGTTAAGATACTAACAATATTGAGACAGTGTTGCCTGTAATTGGTTTCAGATTTATTTTTATCTATTTACAGTGTCCATTCCGCTTGTTTAAACTGCATTTTTTATATAGATATACACATGTTCTGTGCTTTCTAAGATTTTATTCAAACATGTTAATCCAGTTATCACTCATAAGAGGACCCCCCCCCCCATTTTTTTAAATAGACTCCAGCAAGGATTAACTGGATGTTAGGGTACTATGGTGAAGCAGTGTTGGTGTTTGAAAACTATGTTGTCTAAGAGAGATTATTGTCGTAACAGTAATGTCGCTCATTTCTTCTCATACTGGATAAGACTGACTTCTTGACTGCCTTGTTAAGAGGAAAATCTTGGTTAATGGTTAAATACACTACAGAACCAGTGAGACAGTTGTAATGTAAAAGATGCTTATGCAATTCTGTCAACTAAGACTAAACTTTAACATCTCAGCCTTGCATTCAAAAAGACAAAACATTAGAACAGAATAAGGACATCAGAACCCACAGTACAATGATACAAAGTCAAGAATTCCAGTAAATTGACAGAGTTAAGCAATAAGCTTACTCCATTCATGCACTCACTCTGGTCATCAATCCCATCACGGAGAGGCACATTCAAGCAGTAGTAGCGACCACTCTCTGCTCCAACTTCATACATGTCACCTACAGAAAATGTCAAAACATTTAATATATAAGAAATAAAAATACATTGATTTTCAAGGCCATATTCTTTCATGCAACTGACTGGCACTGCTCTTCCTTTTGCTGGACAACAGTGTTATTTACCTACTATCTGTTTCAGTCGCTCATCATTCACACTAGCATTCAACTGCAGGGTGCTATGGCTAAGGACCTACAGCTCAGGCCTGATACCCAAAGTCAAATCAATTCCACAACCTGTAGTGGCAAGCAGAGGTCCTTCACAAAGTTAAATAAGGTTGTGATGACACCCCAAGCAAACAGGGGTCGAACCCACTACCCTAGCATGGACACCAGAACGTAACAGTAAGAAAAAACATACATTTCTATGGAGTTTTAACAGATTTATTATTATTTAGCAGACCTAAAGAGGAACTCTGCTGTATTTTCAAAATTTCAGTATGATTCAAATGTTCAGATGTAAATAAAGTCATTCAGTGTGGTTTGACGTGAAATGGTTTGTTGTAGATCGGTGTACAGTTAGAGGCTATAGCTCATCTTTTTCATACACAACTAGTTTCAGTCATTCTGTATTGCTTCACACAACCGCTGCTGTCGGGATATTTTTATTTGGTGGCCCATCAGTGGCAATGGCCGCTTTTCCACTGTCGAGGCAAGTGCTTCTCAGGGCTGTACTGTGTTGTTCCGCACTGGTGCTCATCGGGCTTATCAGACTGGTTATGGTTTCCTTTTCCATCTGTTGTGCTGCCAGAAGTCAGAACCAGGAAAAAACGAATAAAACTGCACAAGAGAGTTTTAACTACTAACAGGCTAAAAGCTACACACAACAACACCCACTACAACACACATTTGATTCTGTCAGCCACTCCAACACCAGTCTTACACTGTGCTCTCAGATGACACTTGGGCAGCAGGTATTGATACTGAGCCTGTACTTTGTTAAGTTGATCCTGTAGTTGGCCAACTGTGTAAGCATTAGCATAGCCCAGCAGGGTACAGCTCAAAGCACCACACAATTCTTTTTTATCTTTGTCACTTCAACTGTCGCTTCAATTAAAGATCTCAGATTTGAGTCTTTATCCTCTAAACAGGTGTTTCTAAGCATCATATTGCTGGACCTGAGCATGTGCTGCAGTGGGCGGCATTGTACATTCACCTTAAAGGCTACATCTTAAAACACTACAGGTCTGTCACTCCAACATGAACCAGTCAACTTTGCTCTCGCTGTTTTAAGTTTTTATCGTCTATACCTGTGATAGCAGAGCACTAGTTAGTCAAATCGAACCCATTCTGGGGGGTCTGGATCTCATTAGCTAAGCTGGGATAGCTAGGAGCCTACAGTTCCAAACACCACAGGACAGGTTTAATTTTGGCTTTAAGCCGCTCAACTTCACTTCCTCAGAACTCAATCAGTATCAACTAAACTTGTGTCAGTAAAGCTTTTGTTAGTCAAAATCAAACATGTTCTGTGGTCAGCAGAGCTGGCAGCATGCTAGATAAGCTAAAGCTGACCAGCTACTCTATGAGTAAGTGCTGAGCTTGGGTTTCAATGTTCTGTTTTGGACTGTGTCCATGTGGAAATGCCACTGGAACTGTTACCATCTGCGCTCAGAAGTCTTTCGCCCTGCAGCGGAAAAGCATTTATAAATCCCATACAAATATTTGAAATACGTAGTCAGATTACAGAATTAAGTATCTGTATTCAGTTTGAGTTACATTTTGTAGACACAGTATTCTGAATACACTTACTCTTTATATTTTTAGGAGAATACTTTTAAAATACTTGCTAAGTAAAAAAAATACAATCTTCAAAACAAACACCATTAGTGCTTGTTTATAAACTATTTTAGAATCAGTGTATGGCATGTAGCAGTCATGCTTGTCAGACAAAACCTAAAGAGAACCTCAATTAACAGCTTCTTTACAAATGCTGAAGTTCTTACTAAAACCTGAGTAGACTGATTAATCAATGCGATCAGTTATTTACCTCACTGTTATTAAGCTCTGCTAAAGCCTGAGTAGACTGACAAATCAATGTGATGATCAGATCAGTTGTTAATCTCAGTGTTACTGAGCTCTTTTGAGAGATGATTAAACTAATAATCTCCTCAGTAGTGGACATGTTTGCGAGTGACAGGCTTAGCATCAATGTTGCACTGGATTCCTGCGCAAGGGATTATGGGAGCCACAGTGGATTTTCTAATGAAACACTTTACATGAAAACTGCCAACCAGTAACAGCGAAGAACAGTGTGAATTAAGTGCGTATTAAAAAATTCCCATGTGGCTTATCAAGATGTATTCTAAAAGTATCCCAAGTGTATTCTCTATATGTTACTTTTTGTGTATTGTAAAGGAATACATTACAAAATACACTTAGGACAGTGTATTCAATATTCAGCCATCACTACTTTCAATGAGAGAAGATACAAGGTAGGTTTACTTAATAAAATGCTCAGTGTATACAGTAAGATAACGACTGGGAGAACAGAACCCAGAGTTATAATTATAGAGGGGTAATCAGACCTACCTGTCCCTGGAAAAAAATAGTTCCCATACTTATGGAAGGACACAGTCATGACCCGATCTGTAAGATAAAAAGCTTCCTGCACTCCATCACCATGATGAATGTCAATGTCGATGTACAGCACGCGTGGGTGGTACCTGTTCAAAGAAATTTGCAAAGAGGTGTATCGCATTTGAGAGAAATTAATGTTAAATTATATATAAACCATGCCAGGATAAAACTGATACATCTCATAAGAACAACTGAAAATGTTTGATTATTTAAATAATTAAGAACAGATTAACCTTCATGTGACAACCATACTTTGCCCTTACTTTAGCAGTTCAAGTATGCTGATGACAATGTCATTCACATAGCAAAATCCAGAAGCCTGAAACAACCAAAAAAGAGAAAAAAAGAAACAAAAAAAGGTATAATTTAGTAACTAAAAAAAATAACAGTAAAGGGCAGGTCATTTCAGACTTATATAGAGCGCCTACAGTGCAATTTGCAATAAAGCCTGTGGAAAAATTTGCCTTTCATTACAATTCTAAAGGGCTTTTACATTCAAAATAAGAGAAATCCAATCAATTGATATAAACAAGAAAAAAGCTCATTCTTTGCATTTCTAGAAATTCACATGAACTCAACTTTTCCACTACTTTCCATAAAGTAGTGACCTTCATTAATTTTGCATTAGTCATGAAAAATAGCTACCTACCCCAAAACATACACTGTGACTTTTAATGTAGTAGGTTTAAAATAATAGGCCAAAAAAAACTCTTGCAATAGCTGATACAGAAAGAATATTTCGTTAAAAAAATAGTGTAAACAGAATTAACACGTAACGTCACATGCTTTACCTTCATAATTATGTATAAGAAAACTAATTTAATAGTGTTGCCCCAATATATACAGATGACAATATGTAGAAGCATCACGCAACAAAATTCTTTAAAAACAAACACACACACACACACAACCTTACCTCAAACTTCTTAGCATGATGTAAACCTCCAGCCCAGTTGATAGCAATGTCACAGATCTAAAGATGATTTGGTTTCATATTATTACATGTTCAGCCTGCCCTTAATTGTGACAAACAATGTCAAAAATGAAAGCTATGAATACAAAATATTTTCTCTTATTACTGTTAATGTATTTCTAATGAAGCAAAACATGGAATGCATACTGTCTGATTTGTATCTACAGATTACCTTATGATTTAGTTGAGTCGCTCCTTGCAACGAAGCACCAGTGTATCTGGAGCAAAACTCAAACAACCCTGGAAAGACAGGACTAAAATCCAAAAAAACAAACAAACAAACAAACAAACAAACAAACCAACCCTTTACATTAGAACAACTACAGACAGAAGAGGGTATGGGTGAACGTATTACATAAACTAATACAAAAAGACAAACTAAAAATAAATAAATGTCACCCGCTTACCAATCATCTCCAACATTGAAGGTGTTAAGGCTCTTTGTGAAGCCTTGCATATTGTTTGGGCTGACCTTCTGCAGAAAATCGATATAGTCCTCTGAGTGGAAACGACACATATCATGTTGGGATGCCTTGTATGGCTTGAAAACCTGTTGGGGGAAAAAACACATTAAGTAAAGCTTAACATAAAGCTTGTGCGACAGGTATTTTATGTACAATACACCGACATTAACAGTGAAAATGTCAAAATGCAATACCATCATTTTCTTATATAAGCCATAATGCAAGACCAGACTGTGGGTTAGGGACAACCTATGAGGTTTCATTGGATGTCCAGCACCTGTAGTGATAAGGAGGGAAGAACAGTGTTGGAGAACAGATACACATGAAGCACTCCATGTGAGATCATAGGGCTCTCCACTACCAGTCTAAGGATAATGTGAATGCTAGCACCATTTTTTAAGTTGCATTACACTGCATGTAAACAATAACATTATTTAACATATCACTCCCCATGCTAAAAACTGGGACATCACAACAGTTGAAATGTTATGAGATTTGTTTTAAACTAAATAGTGGATTGTATAATCCATATTTGAGTTTACTTATTTTTGAGGCATATTTCTCAATCTTTTCAATGAAACATACTCATGATGTTGACTGAACCACCTGGGAGTGTGACCTTCTGCCACAAATCTTGGCACTACATTATTATATTTGCCTGGAGTTTTCCCCCCCTCCAAATAAAATACTTTTAAAAGAGTTTACTCAACAGAAATGAATTTAAAACACATCACAGGCTAAACATTAGATTACCCTTTTTAACGCTCAGTACCAAACCATTTCCAAGCAAATGTATATGAACTTTAACTTACAAAAATCATATTAAGAGATGTGATACCATGGCTTCTCCCTTTGGGGCACTCTGGCTAGCGTCTATTTTACAATAAAAAGGTTTGCACTAACGAACATTCCAGAATAAAAAAGTGTAAGATTTAAAGTATAAAAATGGTATTGCAGTCATGTATTTTTACGCTTGAGAATTTCTAGCTTTTAAAGTCGAGTGACAAAAGTTGTAAACAGCCCCTGACGGGTTTGCTCTCCAGCTCGAGTTAACGCTAGCTATTTGCAATAGCGATTTATCCGCTCATATTCATCTCCGTAGAAAGCCATTCTATCTGCACATTGACTGTACGCAAATAATGGAAACCTAAAGGGGAAAACACAAACGTTGCAAATCTATGAATGTTCATTAGCTAACGTTAGCAAATTAGCCTGACCGCCTGCAGTTAGCACTGAACCTGGTAGCTAGCAATGTTTGAGCTAACAAACAACTAGCTAGCTAGCTAGCTAACGTTCAGGTTTTGCGGTCCGAGGACTTTGGCTTTACCATAGTGAAAGTTCCCAACATCTGGATCATAGAAATAAGCCGTCCGGTTTGTCATTTTACTTCCAACCCAGACTGAGCACGCAACTTCGAAGCGAATTTTTAGTAAGTGGTCAGCAAATCTTTCTCACAGCTTCATTCACGAAATGGTCGCCATTGTAAGTACGCACATATGCGTCATCAACAGTAGACGGAACATAGTCTTTTGAATATTTACAAAAGAGGTTGTCGCTGTGACCTCAAACAGTTCGCTGTTTCTGTGTTACTTTAAAGCCTGATTTCATCCACTGCCCAGATGTAAATATTCAAATCAAAAGCCCCATTTAATTATATTTATCGAGGCCAAATACTTGAAAACGGTTGCTGCTGTCAACAATAAGAAAGCACTGAAATTATCAACAGTGTACGGATCATAATGTTTTGAGTATTTACAAGAGAGGTTGTTGCAGTGATCTCTAAGATGGTTGCTGTTTCTAAGTTATTTTACTAGATCCACTGCCCAGAGGAAAGGAGAAGTACAAGTGGATCCGTAGCGCATATTTACGGATATAACCGCAAATAAAACCTCTAGGTAGGATATTTTGCTATTTAGGCTAAAACTCCTTATCAAAAATACTACCCGTGTTAAAACTACGAGGCTGAATTAAGCTTCTTTTTCGCTGGCTGCTTGTTCGAATTTCCCGTTCCAACTTAAATTGCGCAGCAGTTGACTGCTGCACCATTTAAGATGGAACGGGAAAAGTCAAACAAAAAGCTGGCGAATGTCCTCAGTTACCAGCATAAAAATAATTTAGGTTATTCTGATAGCCTAAATCAGTTTATCAGGGGTGAGCAGTATATTAAGCTGAGTCTGAACTGGATTAGAGTGCAGGTACGTTTGTAGATCTTTTCAAATCAAGCTAAAAGGAAAGATGTCATTTAAGTGAGTATCAGATGAAGGACAGAGAACTGCAGGGAAACCTGCTGCTTTTGTTCTGACTTCTTTTTATCTGCCCTCAGTCTGTACATGGAAACCATAGATATACATAGCTAGAATCCGCATTGGGTCCAGCCAGGCACGTCAACGGCGCCGACATTTTGGGGCGGTCAACGTTGCAGCTGGACTGCATTCATTACAGAGCGGCAGTTTAAGAAAGATACTGTCCAAAATTATACTATTTCAAGAATATTGCACTCAGGAAGTGTTATAGGATTATATAACGGAGGGAACACAGTTTTCCACGCTCATTAATGTAACCAGTAATGGAGAAAACTGAACTCTGTACCGATTGATCTCGAAGAGAAGGAAGTTAACGCTACCCTGGAGAAAGAAAAAAAGACTGATAAAGGAAACACACTCGTATACTTGCAAAGCATATAACAACGAGGATGAGGTCTGCAGTTCAAACTCAAGTACACCTTGCAAACAAAGAAAGCGTGAAAAGGAAATCCAAATGTGAGTACTGAGCCTTCTCTAGCTGAGCTGCATGATAATATTATCCGTGTTCTCACAGCTAAGATCAATGAAAGAGCAGATCAGACCGACGAAGCGGTGAAATACAACACAATGCACATTGAAGGACTAAAAAAATCTTTGGATTACTACCATCAAGAGGTGGTTGAACTCAAAAAGGAAAATGCGGCCACAAAATCTAAGCACGAACAGCTGCTGTTTCTAAGTTATTTTACTAGATCCACCGCCCAGATGAAAGGAGAAGTACAAGTGGATCTACAGAAACCCCCACAAAACATCAAGTTATTGAGTGAGTGTCAGATCTTTTGATATTTTTGTATAAAGTGATGTCTGTTTTTTGTTTTTGAATATACTGAATATACCCTGGAGAAAGAAAAAAGACTGATAAAGGAAACACACTCGTATACTTGCAAAGCATATAACAACGAGGATGAGGTTTGCAGTTCAAAGAAAGCGTGAAAAGGAAATCCAAATGTGAGTACTGAGCCTTCTCTAGCTGAGCTGCATGATAATATTATCCGTGTTCTCACAGCTAAGATCAATGAAAGAGCAGATCAGACCGACGAAGCGGTGAAATACAACACAATGCACATTGAAGGACTAAAAAAACTTTGGATTACTACCATCAAGAGGTGGTTGAACTCAAAAAGGAAAATGCGGCCACAAAATCTAAGCACGAACAGCTGCACAAGACAGTTGTTGAGATGCAAAAACAAGTGAACAAATTGGACAGATACAGACGGAGATACAATCTGCGAGTGTATGGAGTTGCCGAAGAAAAGGAGAAAAATATAAAAGTTAAAATAAAAGACATTTGCCGGGCTGCCCTGCCAAATGGCGAGATTTTTTTTCTAAAGGCTATTAAAACCTCATATAATGGTTGTTCTAGCTCAGTAAAGTTAGCAAATGGTACGACTGCTCAGTCTGGAATAGATCGTGGTATACAACAAGGAAGCCTACTATCTCCACATTTATTTTTATTAGTAGCTTAAATTATGGCGGTACACGTTAAAGAAGGCCGATTTCAAGGCATAAAAGCATTGGGAAAGGAATTCAAGTTGTGCCAATTGGCAGACGATACTATGCTTTTTTCTTTAAAATAATACAGAGGTTCAAAAAGCTGTGAAATGTATTGAACAATCTTCACAGGTATCTGGTCTTAAAATGAATAAAATCAAATCTGTACTGTTTCCATTAAAATCATGTGACTTAACAGAAATAAATGGAATAGCTAATAGCTAAAAACAAAGTCACGTATTTAGGAGTTGTTATAGAAAAAGATGAGAATGAGCGTAGTATGGCTAATTTTAAACCTATCCTTGAAAAAAAAAAAAATCTCTGGCTACAGAGAGATCTTTCACTGAATGGAAGGATTTTATTGTCTAAAGCTGAGGGTATCTCCAGATCTGTTTATATATCTTTACCCTTATCCTTAGATATGCCCCGTAACATGTGCCAAGAGTTAGATAAAATGTTATTCATTTCATATGGAAGAATAGTCCTTATTATTTCAAAAAAAAGGGGTTTAATGTAATAATAAAAGTAATGGTGGTTAAGAAGTTTTAAGTTATGAAATCTTAAATAATACATTCAAAGTTAACTGGCTTATTAGGCTCATTCAAGAAAAAAAAATACATGGAATACATTTCCAAAGTACTTTGGAAATGTATTCCATATATTTGATGGGTGGTATAGAATTCTTGCTGAGATGTGACTATTAATTTGAGAAATTACCTGTTAAACTGTCCAAATTTTATAAACAGGCTCTACTAGCTTGGACACTGGTTTATAAGCATAATTTTTCCCCTTTTTATCCATTTTAAGAATAAATCTCTTTTTTAAAAAAATGTTTTGATGATAATATTATATCAGTGAAACAACTTTTGAATGCTGATGGCCTTTTGTTGAATTTCTTAATAAATTTGGAGTGCCAGTCACAACTAAAGAATATGCTATAGTTTTTGACACTATACCACAACAAATATTACAGCTTCTTAAGGGTTCAGCAAATAGTGATATGGATATCATAGGGAATGGTCTTTTTATTGGGGACACTGATATCCTTAAATATAAATGTACAAACAAGTATATTAGGAAAGTAATATCTAATGAACAAATTTATAAACAACCGTATTGGTCTTTTGTATTTGGGAACATAAATTGGAATAAAGCATGGACAATTTGTGATAAATATTGTATGAATTATGTTATGTTATTGTATGAATCCTTTAATAAAAAAAAAGAGATGGCCATGTGGTTGTTGATGCACAGAGAAACTGTTGATGGGATTGTTTTTCCTCTGGTTTTCAATTAAGCTTGTTTCATTTAATAGTCTATTCAGGGGATCTGTAGTAGCTATTTATTTACAATGATGGTTATTGCTTTATAGCTAGGTAAGTTATAGCGTTTCTTAATCCGTGTAGATATTCATAATAGATTAACGTAAGCATCTTCTTACACGAACCTGAAGTCAGCTTCTTAATGGCAACTTCTTGTTCGAATTTTTCTGTTCCACCTTAAATGGTGCAGCTTCGGGCAGCAGAAAGTGACAGCTGCACCATTTAAGGTGAGACGGAAAAACTCGAACAAGAAGCTGGCGAATAGGAAGCCAACTTCAGCTTCGTTCCTCTTACTGTGTTTTTTTTTGGGGGGGGGGTGAATTTTATTGTTATGTGTTAAGATTAGAAGTGATTCACACATTAATGGATTTCCTGATGATATTGTGTTTCTACTCGCGCTAAACTCGTTTTTTTAACGTCAGGTGCAGACTTAATACTCTCCTGCTGGTCCGGACGGCTAATTAGCACGATCAGTTATTAAAGAAATAAAAGATAGCTTAGATTAGACTATGTCTGAGGATTATAACAAAACAAATTTGGTGAAAATCGGTTGAGTAATAAGGAAGTTGTGGCTGATTTAATCCTGAGACTCATCATCTCTCAATACAAGTAAATTTGTTCACAAGTGGATTTTGACCTCTCCAACATGGCGGATGCGCAGACGTATCGCCTCAGGTGTGTATATCTATAATGGAAACATACACTGACAAAACCTGCATAAGGAGACTGCCAGTCTAATGACGTGAACTCTTTAACTACCTCGTAATTCAGCGGATCCAGTGGTATTCAAGAGAAGAATGTTCATAGGACAAAATGTATCGGGTTCAGAGCATTTTTATTTAACACAGGGTGCGATAGAGGCGAAAACCTTATTCATTCTGGCCATAAATGAGAAATAGACCAGGAGTTCCTAATATGGGCATAAGAGCATGGCGCCGACTACAAAATGATGGCAAGACTACAGTGGTCTGTTTTTCTAATCATAAATCATATTTTAAACAGTCACACACCTCCTTTTCCTATGGTATTGGTGTCTTCCAAAACTTGCAGGAAGAAATCAGTTGGCAACAGCTGGTACAGATGCACACACCACACTGTGTGCATCATTGCTTAATGATTGATGAACAGCATGTTGCTGATGTAGTTAAAGGAGCATCAGTCCCTTTTTCAAATGTGTGA